TTCTATGACAGTTGTCATTATTGACTTTCTTTTATCCCAGAGATGTCACGTGGGTTTGTTTCCTGTTTCTGGGCTCCTCCTTTTTATCACATCTGGCCTGTGAGGCCCAGGTTAGTTTTGTTCGCTTTGATAAGCTTTGGGCTGGGCTCTTCTGGTTTTTGGGCTTCCATCTTCCTGTTTCTCGAAGACCAAATTGCTTTGATTTTTTGTAGCCTTATTCTGGGCCTCTTCCGCCGGGCTGGGTGTGTCAATTTTTAGGCCCAAACACAAATATGCCATCTTAGACAATCAATCATAAAAAATAGAAATACACCAGAAAATCCACTTGAGAATCCCAATTCCACCATAAATCGAAATCGCCCAAGTTGCTGGATAGAGAAAACTTATGCCTTAGTTTTATTTATTTATTTTTCTTTTGGTCAAAACTTATGCCTAATGTCTAAAATATCAATGGTTTCGGAAATATTGGTAGTCCAAAAACAGGGAAATTTCGATGAAAATATTGGGAAATTATCGATATCAATAAAGATTGAATAAAAATCAAGAAAATTGTAAGAAAAACTTGGAAATTTTTCTTGAAACTTTGGAGGATGTTTATTTAGTCAATTATCTATTACTTTATCACAAAAAATTGATTTAAGTTGATTATATAGTGAGCTGACAAACACTGGGAGTGTAGAATATATATATAGTAATTAATTAAAGAAGATTAAACACACCATAATAATTTATTTATAATTATTTACTACAATATTTTACACTTTATAAATTGCATGGTAAGATACATGAATGACTTAGTACCACATAGAGTTCTTATAAGGTTGTAGGGGACCTTTTCTTCCGGCAGATGTAAATGGGCTGGGCTGCCGTAAAGGGCAAACTGATGAAATTGTCCCCTTTGTCTGAGTTCGAAAATTAAGCCCCAAAAATACCTCGAAAGGGCAGCAGAGCCTCAGGAAGTATTTTGGTTACCTTCACTAGTCAAACAAATAGCAACTTACAGGTAATTTTTGCATGCTTACAGATAAACTTTTGAGCTTGGCATGAGAGGCATGTGGCATGGAAACAAAACCAACATGAGTTTAGCACTGAGGGGGAATTTAGGCTTTCTTAGGGGAAAAAGGGAAGTGTTAAGGTGAGAAAGAAGAAGGTTTGTCGGAGATTTGGCTAAGAAGAGAGAAATAAGAAACGATGCTCTTCTGGTAGCTCGACAGATATTCTGTCTGCCTGAAAAGAATGAAGAAGAAGGTGAATAGTGCACGAGATTTCTAGGTTTTTGCAAGTTAGAGAGAAAGTTTGCTCCCTAATTCTGAGTGAGTTGGATTTGTTAGGTAGGAGAAGCCCTATTTTAAAGCCGCTGGAAACCACCGCTTCTCAAGAAACCCTAATGACTTCTATCTATTTTGGCCAAGCTTTTTCTTTCTTTCTCATCCTCTTCCTTTGACTTCCCTATCTTAGTAAAATTGCCTCTATCTATTTGCACAAATTTAGGAATTTTGGGAGCTCAATGCCCCCTTTCCCGCAGCTGTTCAGTGGGAAGCTCCATTCTTGGCTACTTTTCTTCCTCCTTCTTTGGCCAGATCTGATGAAGGAAAGGAAGTGAATATACATGCTGGTTCAAAGGGTGCTTCTGACAGCTCGCATGCTAATATTCCTTGGTTCTTTGAATGTTTCTGGCTTGAAACTTACTTCCCCATGTGCTGAAATCTCCAGCAGCCCATGTTCAATGATCCTACAGACCTTCTCTATGTGGCTTCTATTTTTTTCGCAAAGGGCTGAGGCTTTTGTGGATTATTTTGGAGTTTTGTATGGCCCAAGGTGGTTCCTTAAGTAAGTGGGCTATTTAAAACGTTTGGGCTTTTTGGTTGAGTCAATAGACTATTTTGATTGGGCTTATTTTTGGTTGGGTTATTTTCCTTTTTGTGCTCACCCATGTGTTTGGGCCTAAGAAATAGGCTTGAGTCCCGAGGCTCCCAAGCGACCCGAGACTTCTATTTCTCGACCCATCGATGGGTCTCATGTTGATTTATTACTATCTATACCACAACCCATTCAAGCAAGCCCCGGGTATTTGAGCGGCTTGGGCCTGCTTAGACTTGTAGCGTGGTTGGGTGCGAAATAACGATTTCGTGCTTGGCATGACATGTCGCTTGGCACGTTTTTAATTGTGATGCTTGATGGGATAATTAGCATGAATTTGTAGAACTAATGCATTTTATAATCTTAATCTCGATTCCTAGTATGGTGGATTATTTATTTGGGGTGGCACGTGGAGTGCGACTCGTGCATGGCGGACTTTCGTGTGCTCCAAATCAGGTCTTTTCTCAATAATATATCGTTTTGGGCCTAGAATATATTCGGGGCCAACCGTGAATTTTTTGAGCCTCAACAAAGGTTTTTGAGTTATTTATTGTAATGACCCAAACCTAATTTAATTTTTAATTTATTGGAAGAAAAGACTAAAATACCCCTAGAATAATTTATTAGGTTTAAAGTTGACTTTTTGACTGGAAATGAATTTTGAAATTTCAATTGTACGGGTGCGTAGATTGCGTCAAATCGAGTCCATGGACACGTAGTAGGCTCGAATCGGACTTATAACGAAGAAAATACTATCCAATTGTGATGAGGGGCAAAACTGTAATCCTAAAAAATCAGATTTTTAAAAACTGACTTTTTTCTCTCTCCCTCTCATAGTCTTGACAAACACAACCCCCCCTCCCCTCCGTGTGGCACAACTGTCACCTTCTCTCCTCCATAATCACTGCAACCCTCCACCCCGACCGACGAGACTGGTACCAAAACGATCGACCAAGCCCTACTGTCACACCCTAGCCCATCACCGCCATCATCCACCACTCTAGTTGCCGGAAATAGAAGAAAACTCCCTGATTTTCGTTTGAAACTTCACGGCTTCGATCTCTCCCCTCCAGCCACTATTTCCGACGATCAAGGTACTCAGGCACCAGCTGACCCGCAGGAGGGACCTTCGAAAGGTCCAGCTAGCTCGGACACTCAGTGAGTGGACTTTTGTTTATAAATAATTTTATGCAATTGAATTTCATTATTTGATCTTTAATAAGTTTTATTGATTATGGCTTTCCTAGCATGATTTATTGAAGTTAAATATTTTTATTTATATGCTGCCTAGTTGAATATGCTAAAGGATATGGAAAGTAAGAATTGAGATAGTTATCGGATTGAATGGCAACAGGATTTTAAGATAATGAAGAATAGTTTTATAAATGCTACCATGGATACCCAAGGTTGCCTTCGGATTTAAAACTTGCCTCAAAATTAATGTTGGATTCGGAATAAAAATGGTTGCCTTCGGTTTTGTCAGCGTGCTTGACATTTGCCCCATAAGTTTCGGGGACGCCCGGACCTTGGGAGCAAGGAATGCGGATCAGATTGACCAAATGTCTCCTGAGTCCAGCAAGAATTGCAGCTCGGGTGACCTTGTGTTTCTCGAGACCTGCGAGGACGTGTCACTTCGGTGGCACGAGGAATTGATGGGAAACAAAGGAATTGACGAAAACTAAAGGAATTGACGGAAATAAAATAGGTATACCTAGGTGGTAGAGAAATAATCATTTTTCAATATTTAAACGGTTTGATGATTTATGTGAGCATGTGAATGTTATATAAATATAAATATGCATGCCTGATTTCTGTACGAGTATAATATGCAACTTGATTAAGTTTTCTAAATGTTTTAACAGTGGAGTTAGTTTGTTCATACTCTATTTTCTAAAACTTTATTTTTGTCCACTCACATTTTTGAATGTTTTGCGCCCCCAGGCATTAGATGTGCACCAGAGCGCCACCACCAGGCAGTTTCCTCACTTCGCACCACTCTCTCCCTCTTATGTAGGATTTCTTTTGAAATTATATTGTGCTGTTGTAAATTCTTGAATTAGTTGCTCTGATGAATTGCCCTAGGACTTCTTGTATGGCCTGAGGCCGTTTAGTTTAGTAGAACTGTTTAGACGTAAACTGATTGCATGCTGGCGGTTGGGATGTGTATATATATATGCTTTTGGCATATGGAAATTCTGGGAAATGATCAAATTACAGGGCTCTGCCGAAGTTTTGATAGAAGTCGAACTTGTAATAAATTTGAATTTTAACTAGCAGGGCAATTTAATCATTGTGCCCTGCACCCGCCAGGTGTCGGACACGCACAGGGTTCGGCACAGATTCCAAAGTGGAATTTGGGTCGGGTCCTATCATTTACATTAACACTTCCTGAGGTTTTCGATTTTTTCACAATACTCCTTCAGATTTTAGAAATTACAAGAACACCCCCTTGAGGTTTTAAATTGTTTTCACAAAACTCATTTTCATTGATTTTCCATCCAAAGATTAATGATTTTATATTGCATATACTTCTTTGAGGTTAATTTTGTCATTTGCATAAGTTTTTTTTTTCTTCAATGAAATCATCAATTTTGGACAAACAATAAACAAAAATGGGTTTTGTGAAAACAAACTGAAACATCAGGGAGTGTTCGTGTAAGTTTTGATATGGTGTTCATGTAAGTTTTGAGACTTGATGTGGGTTTGTGAAAACACAAGAAATTTCAAGGGGTGTTAGTGTAAATAGCTCTTCAAATTTTTCAGTGTCTTCATCATCTCGATATTATCGACATTGTAGCGACATTTAGGCAAAATGTTGCTGAAGTGAGAAATTATCGACGTCGATATTTTCCGATATTATCGTCGATATTATTGATACTTATACGATATATGTATGGATATATTCCAAAATATTATAGATCCGAAAAAATGATAATATCCTTGAAATTTCATCAATATTATCGATATTTTAATCCTTATTTTGCCTTGTTCTGGTGTATGGTCAAAACTTATGCCTCCGGTTTTTTGGTATTTGGTCAGAACTCAGCCCTGAGTTAGTCCTTGCATCGCACGTCATTCGACAAGTGGATAAATTTGTCGTTGACAATTTTAATAAAAAGGCGGGAAAATAGAATAGCGGCAGAACGACAGAGCTGAGAACTCGAAACTACCCTTTCCTTTCTTCTAGAAAATTCTGCAGTAGAATGTGAGGGTATTTTCGTCATTGTGAAGAACGGCGTCGCGGGGTCACTTACAGAAGAAGGCTTGGGTGGGGCCCTTTCCATCTTCCATAAATAGCGTCTCTTCTTCCTCCCTCTTCCTCTGCGGAAGCTTGGCATTGCTGGCTGAGAACCAAACCAGTGACAGCACAAGAAAACAAATAAAGCAAAAAAAGAAGAAAGAAAATGGCACAGGACGGGAAATTAAGGCCAAATCTGGACCAGCAGAGCACAAAGCTTCTCAATCTTACTGTTCTCCAGCGAATCGACCCATTTATCGACGAAATTCTCATCACCGCAACTCATGTCACCTTCTACGAGTTCAACACTGACCTCAGCGAATGGGTATGCTCTTTTTTTTCTCTCTCTTTTTTTTTAAATTTTTTTTGTCATTCTCTGATTGCATTCTACTCATTTTCTGTGGGTTTTCAAATTTCAGAGTCGCAAGGACGTCGAAGGATCTCTCTTCGTCGTCAAGAGGTGATTTTCTCTTTACTATGTTGATGGTTTTTGGATTGCAAAATTTGGGGTGGTTTGTTTTGGTGTTAATTTTTTTTTTCAAATGGGGTTAAGTTTCGTGCTGTTGTTATTTCAGGAATGCTCAACCTCGGTTTCAGTTTATTGTGATGAATCGCCGGAGTACTGGTTAGTGTGTTTGCATTTTGTTCTAATTCTTGATACATTTGTCATTCGGTGCTTAGCTAATTATTTCGACTGGAAGTTTTATTGGTGTTCGACAATGGGTTTATCAGATTCTCTTTTTACAAGCTAAACTCTACTCCTTATTATATGCTTGAAATTACTGAAATTGAATGATGGAAAATTTGCTATGATCCTATTGATACAGGGTTTAGGGTTTACTTAGAAAGTAAGCCAAATGTCACATCATTACTGGAGTCTGGACCACATTTCTGGGTTATTTTTTCTGTTCAATTTCCTTTCCTTTCTGGTTCGATGTTCTTCTTTGCCTCTCGTCTTAAAATCCTTTGCATTTGCTCCTGCATGAAAGGTTAAGGATCACGAGGACAGTATTTGAGATTAAGATTTGACAAGACATTTACTTAAGACTTCCAATTGATCTTTTGGTATGGTTATAAGACTTTCTAGAAATTTTGTTTTGTTTTGACTATCTCACATTACTAACAAGCTTGATGATGTTTTTGTCTTTTAATTTTCAATTTTTGTATGGCTTACATTTTTGTTTAATTATTATTTTTCTCAGTTTCTGTATTTTAAAACAATTCAGTATGTTTGCATAAGCAGAAAATTTGGTGGAGGATCTTTTGGGAGATTTTGAATTCGAAGTTCAAGTTCCATATCTTTTGTATCGAAATGCAGCCCGAGAGGTCAATGGTATTTGGTTCTACAATGCAAGTGAATGTGAAGATGTGGCAAATCTTTTTAGCAGGTAGAGCTGTAGTCTTGCAGTCTAAGTTGATTGAAATTTTTTTAATCTTTGTGGTGTTTTTGATTTGATACAATCAATAACTTTGTGGACGCTATAAGTATAGCAGTGGATGGATGTACCTTTACATGGTAGTGTGTAGGACAGGGAGAGAAACTGGGAGAAAATAGAGTGAGAAAGAGAGATAGAATAGAGGTTGAAAATTACAAAGAGAAAAGAGAAACAGAGAAAGGGAGGCAAAGTTGGGGGGTAAACTCAATATATCTCAAATGAGTGCCAAAGTCTGAAATCTCTATTACAATTTACAGTAAGGCATTTATGTAGGCTGAGGAATGGGTTTTGAACTCTTCAGTATTTAAAGAATTTCCATGTCTTGCTGTTTTTGTAGGGTAATGTTATTTCACCAGATTTTTTTCTTTATTCTAAATTGTCTTGTTTCTTATTAAATTTTATCTTGTATTATTTTTGTCCAGGATACTTGGTGCATATTCCAAGGTGTCATCGACAAAGAGGTAATATTTAGTTCATTCATACTTCACAGATTTAGTTATACCGTTTGAAATGTTGAAAGGATAATGACTTTTTTTTTTTCTTCTGAAATCTGTGGTATTATGAGTTTTTTTCCTTGCATGACAATAGTATTATGAACTTCTGGGTTTGTGCTATTGATCAACTTGAAGGTTGATATTTTGTTTTTGTATACTTCTGAGATCTGGGTTATTACACAATTTATTTTCCTTTAAACCTTTGGAATGTTTTACCTATATTCTGGTCTCAGGACAATAGTATAAGAACTTCTGGGTTTCGAGCATCTTAAATGTTCAGTTGTCTTGTGTTCTTTTGTAGCGAGTTTGAGGAACTGGAAGCAGTCCCAACTATAGCTCTTATGGATGGTCCTTTGGAGCCATCATCATCAACTGCCTGCATTGTCACAGATGTTCCAGATGATCCTGCCTTTGTGAACTTCTTTAGTGTATGTTCTCTTCCTCTTGATATTATGTGGTTGTGGAAATATGTTCTGGCATTCACATTTTTCCTACTTGATATCTTTGTTATAGTATTCTTGTTTTTGGATCTTTTGTAAATATGATTGTAATACTGAACAACAGAAAATGTAGCCACTCTATTTGTGTGTTGGCATGTGTTTTTGTGTATGTATTTTATTTTTGCACTTTTTAGTCTTACCATGTGGATTATGGGATGATTCTAACATGATTTTCAAGTGTGTAGCATCAACTGCCTAGGGTTTCATGAATTTCTAACTTTTGAGTCATTGGTGTAGGAATTTTGATTGTTCTATACACAGTAGTAGAATCAAAATGTTTTGCTTGTCTAAAAATTTCTGCTGTTGATGCTAACGTTGGGTCTACTTTTAAATTCAGTGATGTGTAATAGAGTCGTTTTGTTGGATTAAAATAAATAAATAATTCCAATGGATTACCTCCCTAAATGTGCTGGGTTTAGTGTTCTTTTTTCTTTCACATTTTATGCTCACATATATATTGTTCTTATACTCGATGGATGCCTGCATATATATACATTAACACAGCACACACCTGCACACAGCTTGGATATCTAGGATTGAGTCTCTGACTCTTGTCCTTTTCTCTTAAGCAGATAACTTTATGTTTGTCACAATTCCACCCTTGCATATGCACATATGTTGGTCAACATACTGATGATATAAATTTATGTAACAAATGTGCGTCTTATTTCATTTTCCCATATCTGGGCTGGACTGAATTTTATAATTAATTGCAGACGGCTACAACTATCGTGAATTCTTCAACTACAACAATTACTGGACAGCCTTACCAGTCTTCTTCGACAATCTCTCTACCTTCCCATCCAGTCGGAGTTGCCCCTTCCCCTATTCCTAGCATGCAGATATCATCTGCAACTTTATCCCCTTTCCTTGACATCCCTGAATCCCACAGAAACACCAAACTGATCAATAATCTTGTAAAGCCATCTTCGTTTTTTGTTCCTCCATCCTCTTCACCAACATCGATGCCACGTGTCTCTTCATCAGTGCCTACTGCGCCTCTTCGTTACCCTGCTGTAAGTCTACAACGTCCATATGGTGCTGCTTTATTACAACCTTTTCCACCACCAGCTCCTCCACCATCTCTCACTCCTGCTTCTTTTCCTATCCCAAACTGTGGGCCACTTAACAGAGACAAAGTTCGAAATGCACTCATGCTGCTTGTGCAGGTTAGTTTTCAGTACTGGTGTTACATAGTTATGTGACTGCTTTCACTTTTTAGTTGAGAAGATCGCATGTTTGCATTTATCTTTAAAATTCATTCACGCATATTGTGACAAGCGTTTCAAAATACAAAATGCACCAGGAACATTTTTAGCGTTATGTTCGATAAATATTTGGAGCTGGTTGTACAGGGTATACTGTATATCAAAGAAACCAATACCTAGTTTAGCTACTGGTTGTACAGGATAAAATTATTGAGTTTCTGTTGATATCTTTTGATTGTTGGATTTAATGTGCCAGTTTTGTGAACAAAGAGTTTAGCTATTGTTGTTTCTTGCACATGATTTTCCTTGTGGTCATTACCTAGGATCTGAAACCCTTACTAATAGATTCAGCAAATTATACTAGTGAAATTAAATTTAACCAGGAAATGTGCACTCAAAGCTTATCTCTCTTTTATCCCCTTGTGTGTGTGTTTTCTTTGTGGTAATTTTAATCTAGTCTGTGGAAAATAAACTCTGGTAAATTGCAAGTCAGTTGACAAAAGAGATGATTTGGCCGAAGTTGTTACATGTCAATGGTTGACTAGAGTTCTAATTATCTAGACTCTGAATTAAACTACCAAATAAGAACTCAACCTTTTTGCATGAGTTAAGCTCCTGCCTAATCCTTATGTTCCTCTTAATGACGATTATTACTAACTCTGTTCATAATTTGATAATGTGTTGTAGGACAATCATTTCATCGACATGGTATATGCAGCACTCCTGAATGCACACCATTCATAACCTTATGAGAGAAATTTTACCATCAGCATGTAGGCCACTGAACATCCTACTCGAAGCGGCATACAATCTACAAGCTGGATTGTTTTTGTTCATTGTGAAGCTTTTTCTTATGTTCTGCTCTCTTTTTTCGTAACCCCGTCAGATGTGTGCGTATGAATGTATAGCATGTCAGTACTCGTTCGCATGAGATAGTACTTGACATATATGTAGGTGTATTTTGATATTGTAATTGTCTGTGACATGTACTCTTGAATGTTTGGTTAGTGATGCAGTGAGATTAGCACTTACATACATGACCATGGGATTCATGCAAGATGAGGTTCATTCAGTTATAATAAATAGGTGTCCTAGTGATCTATAATTAAGATGAGTCTTTTCATATTTTGGGATTATCTAGTCATAGGTGAAATTCTTGGATTTATGAAAGACGAACAACTGTAGGTTCAAGATATACAATAAATAGGGGGATTTGGTTCAATGTAAGTGATATTTTCCTGGTATCTATAAATAGTTGTTTTAGTTGTTTCAGTTGTTGATGTAAGAAATGTCCTGTATCAGTTATTGAAATTTTAAAATTTCTCTCATTTATTAACTTGTATTCCGTTAGAATCAACAAAACATAGAGCTCTTTAATCTTGGCTATTCTCATTCTAGAGAATCGACGAGGCATCGAACCCCTTCATTCTTGGCTATTCTTGTCTCGAGAATCAACAAAGATTTAATTTAAGGTTTATTGTGTTCGTGAAATTTTATCGTTCTTTGCACATTACGCGCCCTGTCAGTTTAGTCTTCATTTGAAGCACGATCAAAGACCAATTATATTATTCTCAGCAATTTTATGCCTCTTAACCTAAGGAAGTCAGTTCGACCCAAAAAAAACCAAGTCAGCTTGAGCGTTAAAGTGAATTTTGCTGGTATTAAAGGAGGCCCTCAAAAGATTTACCCCTCGAATATGGACTCTGATTGCGCAATGAGAAGGGAAAAACGCACTAAGGTGAACATTTACCTCAAGTCTTCTCCAAATATTGGTAATGTTGACTAAACATTGATACTTTATTATCGATATAGTAGGTTTATTTGAGAACAATGTTAAAAGTTCTACTTGAGAGTATTTCCCAAATGAAAATGAACCTTTTCTCTTGAGTGTTTCTTTCCCTGTGTCAATTGTGGTATTCATTTCTCCCCTCCTCCAGCCATCCTTTGACCCCCATTTCAATGGTGCTCATCACTAGGGTTGGGCACGGTGCGATTTAGCTCGGTTTTTCGGTTGGAACTGATCATCAACCCATGTCAGTTAACCAAATCTCATAAAAGATGCCAAACCATCATAAGCCTCAACTGAACAATAATGAAATAGCCTTATTTAGTGTAATTCAAAGTAGATATGATTAAGGCCGTTTACCATCTCAGATATTGTTTGTTTATTTATTATTTTTAAAGTAGTACACAGTACTGAGATATATGTGAAATGTTAAACTTTATCTAATTAATCAGGTTTTTTTTTCTTTGTATATTTTCTTTTATGCCGGAGATTTTTTTTTAAATAAACATTTTTTAAAATTTCCCACGAATATCACAAAAGTAATGAACTTTCGAACATAACGAGATCAATAAAACCAAACCGAAACGGGACAAACTTTTTTTTTGTGGGTAAATACCACGAGGTGTCCCCACACTCGAAGGGTGGGATTAATCCCCACTCGGGGTTCGGTTTGTTTCTGGCCACAAAGTACTTCCAACAGGTTTTGAATCCCGTCATTGAAGTACCAGGTAGCTCACCAACTGAAGGTGGCAGTTTGCCAATCGTATCACACCTTGTTTGTCTAAGAATTTTTGCTTTTGTTGTGGTTCAAAATTTTTATAAGAATCTTAAATTAATGACAATATTTGTTTGTGAGTGCTACTATTTCCACCCCCTTGTCCTATTTTCCCACCCACCTTATCTTCAAAATTTTAAAGACAAATTTACCCCTTTATAAAATGACTTCTAAGGACTTAGGAAAAAATATTTAATATTTAATATGAAGTTAAAAATAATAAAATTAAATGTAAATGTAAAATTTAAATATTTTATAAAAAAAAACTTTAACAAAGGGAAAAGCCTTAAAATAAAAAATTCATCTCCAATTTTTCATAAAAATAAAAAATCAGCCCCAACAACCCTCTCCAAACCCTAGCACCCTACCATCTCCTTACCCCCACCCTACCCCCTCGCGTCAAGAGGACAAACAGATTGTACAAAGCTAGGCTTCCAGAAAGGAAAACCACGCGAGCACTAACACCCACAAAAAAAAAAAAAAAAAAAAAGGGGAAGTAAAACTAAAGTACAAAGAAACTGAAATACAAGGAAACAAATTTGTTACCCGCCATTGGATTTGTGATGCAATGTTTGTGGTTTTCAATTTTTCCCAAATTTGAAGTTAGTTTCAATTCCTCAGTTTCTATCTACACAGACAACTCCCAAACTCATGTTCTGTATTTAAATCAAGGATTGAAATATCGGCCGTTACACCGATATATTTGCCGATATATCGATATTTTTAACTGTCGACACCGATACTGGGGGGTAATGCCTTATCTTCCCATGTTTCGACGATATATCCCCGATAAGTGCGATATTCCCGATATTTCCTGATACCCATAACATAACCCAAAAAAAATTCAGAAGTTTTGAAGGCAATTAAAGCAAATTGAAACCCAAAAATAGCTAATCCTTGTCTAGAACCCTATAATTTATTAATATGAAGAATCTATGCACAGTCCACTGCCCACATACCTCTAATCCATCTGAAGAGGACATGACGATCAGTTTTGGATATATGAGCATAGGAACTAGACCTAGTACTAATTCAAATGAATCTTATGATGGTTGTGGTTATGTCATGTCTGATTATAGTGGAACTAGTTATGGAGCTCAAGATGATAAAACAGATTATGGACCTACTAGTTGGTTAATCCTAACTATCCCATATATGGGAGGACAATAGGGAGCTCAAGAAAGACCTATGTGCACCATGTTCAAACATGGCTTACAAACTGCTCTGGTTACATACTTGGTATGACTATTGTATGAATCTAGATGGTTGTTCGTCATTATTTGAACCTCATAGGAGCTCTTCATTTATGTAGATGGACACTTATCTAAATTGTAATCCAATGTTTAAACAAACTATGTCTTTATGCATGGTTTATTCATTCTAATTAACATTTTATTTTCAAACTTTTCATTAACACGCATTACATACCACTTGTATTTAATCATTTGTTCAATACATTCATTAATAATGTACATAACATCTATGAAAGTTTTACACCAAAATTATGTGTTTCAATGCATATATCTGTCATTTTTGTTGATTTTTTCCTGATACCTAAAATGATAACGATATATCCCCCAAAATATCCGTAAATTAGAGGCTCAATATTATCTGCACAGCCGATATTTTAATCCTTAATTTAAATTCATATGGATGATTTACAAAAACAAAGGTGGGATCCACTATAAAGGGTATTTTAGGAATAATAGTGGGTGGAAAAATAGGATTATGTTTTTCCAAATTTATATAGTGGGTGGAAAGATAAAGTGTGTGGAAAAATAGAACAGGTGGGTGGAAATAACAACACTCTTGTTTGTTTGTGTGATTCTAAACAAAATCAAGTCACAAACTTAATAATAAAATTGTGATTGTCAGTTAGCTTTGTGTATATTTCTTTTTGTTTTTGTTAGTACTAAACTCCTTAAATTTTATGTGATTAACAAGATAAAATTCCAAAAGAATGTTATGGTAGTTGTTACATACTCATAACTTTAGAATTTAGTAATTTTTGGATTTAGAATTTATAAGGGTTTAAAACTTGTACATTTTAAATTGTAAATTGATCTATTTATATTGAATTAAAAAAAAACATATTGATATAAATCAATCGGAGTTAATAAGAGAAAATAAGCCTATTAAAAATTTGATTGATGATTTCCAAATTCGAAAGATTTTAGAGTGTTGCTAAATGAACCTTAAAATTAATTGAGTACATCCTATGATCTAAGTACACCCTAATATTTTAATCAAAATGTAAAATTAACTAAGTACACCCAATTTAACTACTAAAAATATCCCTGGTACACCCTAACACATTTTATCACACAACACCCTAATACCAATCCTAAATCAGTTTCTCTTTTTACATTAATTTGTGCCCTTTTTCAGATTTTGGGTTTGGATCAAAATCTTTAATTTCGTAAGCTATTGTGGAGTAGATTTGCTAACTCCTTCTATTCAAAGCTTGATTCTTGTAAATTCTTGTGATTTTCTTTATTTATTTTTTTATTTTTGGATTGAAGTTGTTGCCTTACAAATACAAGATGCAAAATGTTAATTAGCTAAAACACGAGCTGAAATTGCCCTCATGAACTCTAATGATGGACAAGAATCTCCTCAAGCTCAAGTTAATCAGCAGATTGAAAGTGAATTCCCAACTTAAATTTCCTGTAGCAACAAAGCAATGTTGGGCTGACCCCATTTGGTTCTTCCTCCAAAATTCCTTACTTTTTTTAAAAAAAAATCAATATTGTTTTGTATTACAGAAAACAAGCACCAAGCAATATAAAAACTTCTCTACATTTGATTAGGGTTGAATATGGTGAGTAGGTACTTATTAAAATATATCCTTTTTTGTCATTTTATATTAAGGTAAATTAGTAATTCAATAAATAGTTTGATAGTAGGGTGTACTCAGTTAATTTTAGGGTTCGTTTTGCAGCACTCAAGATTTTATTAACTTGGAAAAAAGGGGTTTGTGCTAAAATAATCATTTTTACAACTTTTAGGGAAACGTTTGGCACGACGGACTGTCAGGGACTGGACTAAATCCTAGAACTATCTTGGATGAGCTCGGATTGTTCTAAGTTTGATTAAGTACTGACCTACGTTTGGTGCTGCGTCAGACTAAGAAGCTGGATTTTAAAAATAGTGAAGACCTATGTTTGGTGTTGTGTCGGACTAAAAAATAATTCTTATAATATTTAAATTTAATTGGGGGTTTTGACCTAAAAGATAAATAAATGCTACAAAGAAACCCAATTCAAAGATTTATAACAATATCTGGCACCCAAAAAAAAAAAAAGATTTAAAACAATAATAAAAAGAAAACAACAATTATCTAAACCATCTATTTTTTAAGTTTTCATTCATAGATCATCCTTATAAAAAAATTAGACAAATCGGAAACCGTTTCGACATCCAATTGTGTCTTACAAAATCAATGAACACGGTGCTTCAAGAAAATACTAAAATTTCAATAACTCAATTGAGTGGTCAAATGATATCAGATTCAAGTGATTTTTTGAAGATATGATCTTTGAATGATTATTTACAAAATAGATGGTTTAGATTAGTGAAATACAATCTAGAGTTGGGCCTAAGGGATGTCCCTCAAATAAACTTATTTGATGGATCCCTCAATGGAAGCTCTCTGTATACAATATATATATGTATAATTTTTGTATATTTGACTTGATGAGGAGATAACGGGCGAAGGATATTCATGATACTAGGTTGGATTTATGTTCATTAGCTCCTTGTTCGCGGAGCGGCACCAGTTCCATCAGAATATCCTCTAACGGAAAAAGCAGAATCATTCGAAGAAGAAAAAGCGGCCCTTCCTCTGGTAGTAGTCTATTTTCAAACTGAAAAATATAAGTTGACAAGGTAAAAATTGCTTGCGATAAAGAAAGCATCACATCATGAATTATTAAACTTGTTTCAATATCAAAAAAATATCAAACATTTGTAAATTACTATAAATTATTATTGTAGTTGTAGGGGACTTTTTCTTCCAGCAGCTATAAATGGGCTGGGCTGCCATAAATGGCAGATTGATGAAATTGTCCTATTTGTCTGAGTTTGAAAATTAAGCTCCAAAAATGCTTCAAAAGTGCAGTAGAGCCTTAAGAAGCATCTTGGATGCTTTCACCGACTAAAACAACATTAACTTACAGGTAATTTTTGCATGCTTACAGATAAACCTTTGAGCTTAGCATGAGAGGCATGTGGCATGGAAGCAAAATCAACATGAGTTTAGCACTGATGGAAAATTTAGGCTTTCTTAGGGGAAAAAGGGAAGTGTTAAGGTGAGAAAGGAGAGATTTGTAGGAGATTTGGCTAGGAAGAGAGAAATGAAGAACAATGCTCTTCCGGTAGCTTGACAGATCCTCTGTCTGCCAGAAGAGAAGAATGGAGAAGAGGGTGAACAGTGCACGAGATTGCTGGGTTTTTGCAAGTTAAAGAGAAAGCTTGCTCTCTGAATCTGGGTTGATTTCGTTGGGTAGAAGAGACCCCATTTTATAGCCGCTGGAAACAACCACTTCCCAAGAAACCCTAATGGTTTCTTCCCAACTTGGCCAAGCCTTTCCTTCCTTTCTTCTCTCCTCTCTTGACTTTCCTATCTTGGTGAGATCTATTTGCACAAAATCAGGAGTTTTGGGAGCTCAAGGCCCCCACAGCTGTTCAGTGGGACGCTCCATTCTTAGCTACTTTTCTTCTTCTTTCCTTCCTCATTCCCTGGCCAGAGCTAATGAAGGAAAGCAAATGGGTGTGCATGATGGTTTGAAGGGTGCTCCCTCTCCTGGCAGCTTACATGCTAATATCCTTTGGCTCATTGAATGTTTTGGCTTTGAAACTTGCTCCCCCCATGTGCTGGCATCTACCAGTAGTCCTTGTTCAATGAATTTGTTGACTCTCTCTTCGTGGCTTTTATTTTCCTAGCAAGGGGCTGAGGTTTTTGTGGTTTATTGTAGAGTTTTGTATGGGCCAAGGTGGTTTCTTAAGTAAGTGGGCTATTTTTATTAAACATTGGGCTTTTTGGTTGAGTCAATAGTCTATTTTGCTTGGGCTATTGGGCTATTTTTCTTCCTTGTGCTCACCCACATGTTTGGGCCTAAGAAATAGGCTTGAGTCCCGAGGCTCCCAAGTAACCCGAGACTTTCCATTTCTTGGCCCATCAATGGGCCTCATGTTGATTTATTACCATCCATACCACAACCCACTCAAGCAAGCTCCGGACATTTGAGTGGCTTGGGCCCACTTAGGCTTGTAGCATGGTTGGGTGTGAGATAACGATTTTGTGGTTGACATGACATGTTGCTTGGCATGTTTTAATTTTATCGTCCTTAGGAAGGACTGCGATATTTAATTTTTGCATGGGCTTGTAGAGCCGGTATGTTTTATCTCAACCCCTAGCATGATAAATTTATTTAGCATGGCACGTGAACTACAACTCGCATGTGGCAGGTTTTCGTGTACTCCGCTTTATGCTTTTTCTTAATGGAGTGTTGTTTTGAGCTGATAATTTATTCGGGCCCAACCATGAATTTTTTGGGCCTCAACATTAGCCCCTTTAAATGTAATTAAGGATTTTTATCTAAAAAAATAAATGCTGCAAAAAAAAAAAAACCCATTCAAATATCTAAAACAATAATTAAAAGAAAACAAATAAAATTTTGATATTTTTTAAAAAAGAGGCGTCAGACTCATGTGTTCTATTTGGTAAGCGTGTTATTTAGCGAACCACTTTTCAGGCTCACTGTATTAGACGAGCGAGTGATGCGTTTTTTTCACTATTGGACTGTACAGTCTCATTTAAGTTAGTCTCGTCTCTTACCAAACAAGGATTTTAAGTGCTATTTACCCCATTCCAGTCCAGTAAGGTGTACCAAACATTACCTTATTTTATAATGGGCCCAGCCTCATACAATACCTCTTTGTACTCTTTAATGCAAATGGGCCATTTTAGAATAGAAATTGTGAAAATGAGTTATTTTAGCCAATTTCACAAAATAATAATAATAATAATAAGGGACCAAAACATAAAACAAGGTTCAGTTTTCAAGCACCGAGTGCTGAACTGCTGACTGCTCCTACAGTCATTCTTTACTCTCAGACGCAGAGTAAGACTGAAATTATCAGTTTCTCTCCCTCAGAGAAATGGCGGCATCGTTAAGAGAAATGTCCAAAAGCTTTCTGAGGCACACTTCTCATCCCCAACCCTATATCCCTCCAGCCCACTTTCTCTTCTCCAGGGGATTTTCTTCCAAGCTTTTGGTCAAAGGTACTCTCTCCCTCACTGTTTTGTTTCTGTGATCTTTTCCATTGATATGTTTCTATCATTTCAGACAACTATGTCTAAGGAAGAAAAAGATTTGATTTTTGATTGCCGTATGTGACCTATTTTGCAGCTTAGCTGTTTGTTGAATTGCCTCTTCGGAGCTCTTTTTGGGTTCAATAAAATGTCTTTGTGTGTGTAACTTCTTTCTTACTGCTGTTAGTGTTGTTGAAGAATGCTTGACGAGAATTTGTATGGTTGTGTTTATTTTGCGGAGTCGAATTTAGGGATTGTAAACTCATTCCTTGGAATAAGATTTTTAGAAGCCAATGGATTGGGAATTGCCGTTCGTGTCTGGAAATGCTTGGAATGGAGCTGTTCTTATTTTTATGAAAAATTAATGGAATTTCGCTTTGATGGTGGAAGCATAAATATAAGAGCATGGTTCATTTTGAGTTAGTATAAAAGTTCAAGATTCGAATATGAGAATGCAAAACCTATACAAAACATGAGAATGATAATTAGGAAATGTTAAACTCATTTTTACCCTCAATTTGAACATGATAATGCAAATCCCTAAATCTGGTAGAATGCATTATTTCTATTCGGAAATGTAAACTCATTCTTCAGCCTTAATTTTTCAAAACAAACACAGCATTCAGGAACGGGAGATCCACATGAGCATCTACGGCGCTATGTGAAGGGTAGGGGTTGGGGTTTATGATTGTAAGTTATATGTTCACCAAGATTGCTGTTTTGTGCATCTTGCAAGTTACATTGTTTGACACAGCCGAACTTTTGAAAACTCATGGTGTTCTGTCTCATTAGGTATCTCGTTCACCTCCACAGAAGAGTCATTGACTCAAGCATTTTCACCATTCGGCAAAGTTCTTGATGGTATGCCTTAATCTTGTTGATACAAACTTTAGCATATTTTTCCATGTTAATAAACTGCCAAGTTCAAACATCCAGCTGTCTTTCTTCTTGTTCAGCTAACATAGTGAGAAATAAAGTTACGAACAAGTCAAAAGGTTTTGGATATGTGACCTTTGAGACGGAGGAAGATGCCGAAAACGCTTTGGTGAACATGAATGGGAAGGTAAGAATGCATTAATTCTTCTTTCACTTCATTCTGCGAATGTTTCTTGACACTAGAATCACTTGCAGATGGTGGATCAACGCGTTGTTTTAGTGGACAAAGCATGGCCAGACAACAGGAAGGCCAAAAATGCAGGTTGAGAGAAGCTACATTGTGCCTGTGATGGTTTTAGGACATACTCTCTGAATGAGTTGGAATGGGTGGAAATGTTCTAAGAGACCTTGAGGTGCAATTTCTGGTCACGCAATAATTTTTAGTTCTCTTGAGATATCACGAACTTATGGCAGTATTTGTACTATTCAGAGACGGAAACCCACTTCAAAACTTCTTTTTTCCCCTTTTGTATTTTTCAAAAGAAAATTCTCTCTTCATAATTTCCACGACCAAAACCTAAAGGGGTTTTTTTTTTTTTTTTTTGGGTCTAAAAATACTTCATTGGAAAGCCCGAAAAGGCAAAGGCAACAACAAACAGAAAACAGGGGAGGTGGCCATCGATACCTCCCAGGAGAATGAAATGGAAATACAAGAAGTAAACTACCTTATAACAGAAAGTTAACTACTAGGGGGGCATGGCAAACCATCCTTAGCCAAAACCAGAACCAATGAGGGAGGAGGCTGTGAGGCCCAACGCATAGATCGCACCCTCATGTTTGACAGAGCTGCTGCAGCATGGGCAGCTTGATTTGCTTGGCGAGAAATCCATTCCCGCTTAATTGAGATGAACCTCGAAGAAAGCCTTCTGATTTCCAAAATGAGGGGGATAATTCTCCAGTTGCCACGCAGATTTTCGTTTCTCATACAAGAGATAACATCCATTGAATCGCTTTCAAGTATGATCTTCTGACAGTTTTCCTCTTTTGCTAACAGTAACCCCTCCAAAACATCTTCAACTTCCACCTCGATTGCAGAGTTTCCGATACAAGCCTTACTCAAACCTGCCAACAATCTACCCTCAGAATCACGCAGACAGCAACCCACACTGCCCTGCAGAGAGTTCTTGTGCCATGCTCCATCCACGTTTACCTTAACATAAGGTTGAGGAGGAGCCTTCCAGAGAGCATGGGGAGGAGAAGCTGAGGGAGTAGGACACGTAATAGCTTCCAAAGTAGGACGAAGTTCCCCCCATAAGGAAAGAACTCTTCTAATAACAGAATAAGGACGGGGAGCGACCTTCAAAAGGAGCAGAGCACCTCTCTTTCCAGATTTCCCAACAAGTAATACCCACCAAGACAAGAACTTCCTTATTCCTCCCTTCTAAAAGAGCCAAGGAAGCAGTAACTCCCAAGAGCCATCTGTCAAAAGAAGTTACGCTTTGTGCATTCATGCTGTAGTTTAAAGGGATACCAAACCAAACACAAGCAGTCCAAGGACACAGGAGAATAGCATGTTCAGCAGACTTGTCACTTGAGTTACATAAAGAGCAAACTGGATTAGCCCTTATTCTGCGATGAAACAGGTTTTTAAGGGTGGGCAGGGAATTGGTCAGAGCCCTCCAAAAGAAGAGTTTAATCTTTGGAATGACTTTCATGTTCCAGATTGACTCCCATAAATTTTTTTTCCACTTGGTGGGAGTGATGTTCCGGCACACTACACACAACCTCCAAATTTTCCATTGCCCAATGGTAACCACTCTGAACAGAAAACAGGCCATCTTTATTCCAAGGTCAAATCAAAGTATCTTCGCGAGTAAGATTACGGAGAGGAATGGCACGAATTAGGTTTGCAACAGCAGGATCAATGACATTTGAAATGCCCGCCAAATTCCATTCTCTCAAATCACGATCAATAAGATCATTAACCAATGTTGGAATAGGACCGGAAACAATGATGGTTGGCTTGGGACGCAGGATGGATTTGTGATGCAGCCAGTTGTCGCTCCAGATCTTCACTTTCAAACCATTGCCAATTTGCCAAATGGCACCATCAGACATAATCTTTCGACCTTCCAGAAGGCTAGCCCATGCCCAAGAAGGACAAGGCCCCCTTCTAGCTTTGAGGAAATCACCATCGTGGAAATACTTGGCTTTCAGGACATGCACCTAAAAAGCACCAGGATTATTCCATATACACCAACACTACTTTGCCAGGAGGGACAAATTGAAATTCTCCGGTTCTCTGAAACCCAAGCCACCCTCAGCCTTTGAAAGGCATAAAACCTCCCACCTCTTCCAGTGACTGTGAGCATTGGAATCACCATTACTCCACCAAAACTTACTGAGAACACCATTGATTTGTTTGCAAGTGGACATCGGGTACGTTGGCAAAGCCAAGGCCACTGCCTTAATCAAAACCTCCTTTCCAGCAAGATTTAAGAATTTTGACTTCCATCCTTGGACTTTTTTCTAGATACGATCAACAATGTAGTTCAGAGCTGCAGTTTTGGATCTCCCCCATATAGATGGCAGACCCAGATATGTGCCAGGATCAAGTGTCGGAGATATTCTGAGCGTAATACTGATTTCCCTAGCAAGCGTATCGGAGACATTTGGGCTTAAAAATAAGGATGATTTATCCACATTGAGCATTTCGCCTGATGCCAAACAATAGTCATCGACAATCTTTTTCAAGACACTGCAGTTCTGAGTTGTAGCACTAGCACGGATGAAAAATAGTGAATCATCAGCAAATAAAAGGTGGGATATTGTTAAAAAGTTAAAGCATACCTGGAAAAGACAATTGCATATTGTTAAAAAGTTAAGAAACATGAACGGGATTGATAAAGAAAGGTTTGTAAAGGTTCGTTTTATTTTTTGCAATAGGTCCTAAAAATAACTTATTAAAGCCATAATTTGGATTTTTTTCCCTTTGGTCTCCCTAAAAAATAATTAAGGAAAATACTTCCCTCCTTACCAGGTAAGTAGGAGCTCTTACATTCTTGCCAATAACAATGTGACAGGTATGCAGAAGTTTTTCTTTAAAATTCACATGTTCTAAAACGTTACAATATTCTAGTAAATTAAATCCCTTTTAGGATTTAGGATTAAAGTTAAAATCCAAAATGATAAATCCTTAAAACCTAATAAACCCATAATAATAATAAAAAATAGTAGCAAACCCTAAACTAGGTCTTGACATGTTTTGGTTCGGTTCGATACGTAACTTTTACCAACTCACTCTTTTTTGGTTTTCTACAATCAATTGTTTTCAAGTTCAACATTAAGGTTAAAACTTAACATTACATTAAAAGTATAACATAAATGCATTTTCAACTAAATTGACTCATTGTCAAACAAAAACCTGATTTATATGACTTATTTATTATGGGTTTTTGACCAAACTTGTCCATGAACAGTTACATTTTGGTCCTCTAACTAAATTATTCGCTCAAATGGTACTCAAACTCTCTATTTTGGGGCAAAGGAGTCCCACTATAAAATTCTATCAATTTTGTCGTCAATGTCAAAGCTAAAATCGTCAATTTGGACTAAAATATTAATAAACTATGATTTTTGATAAAAATGTTCCTTGAATTTATGCCCGAGTTCCATTTTGGTCCTCCAACTGCGGCGCTCAAATCTAGCATCTAGAGATGGTAATTTTTCCCACATGTTAGGGTCTTCGCTGGGATTCGACACTAATAGATCTGTTATGAAGGATAAAAATTGGGTATGGGATGGATTTGAGGAAATTTTAGAGTATGGTGTTCGGGTAGAGATGGGGATGGTATTTCAATCCCCTCCTCGTTTAGAATATATAGTATAATTTATGAGAATGACTCTAACAAAATTTTATATTTCAAATATTATAGTACTATTAGCCTCTTCGCACGCGCTTCCGCGCATGAGCGAGAGTTGTTTTTTTTTTAAATTATAAAATTTATAAAATTTAAATTTATTTTAGAATTAAAAAAAATAATGGATAGTTGTGTTCCATAAAAATAGAATCCATTATCTGAATTTTCTTTTAATTTTATCTTTTTTAATATGAAAAAGTGTGAATTTACCATATTATCCTTATTTAATTAATAATTTCAATTCTTAATGTTTGCATTAACCAATGACATTTTCTGGTATTTTGAATGTTTTATCATTATCTGCCTTTTGCTTTATATATACTAGCCCCTTGGCGCATGCTCACGCATGTGCCAATTGGTTTTCTTTTTTATTTTTAAAATTAAGAAAAGATAATATGGGTAGTTATGTTCCATAAAAATAGGACTTATTATCTGATTTTGTTTTTATTTTTATTTTTTGAAATATGAAAAAGTGTTAATTTACCATATTATCTTCATTTAATTAATAATTTCAATTCTTAATGTTTGTATTAATCAATGACATTTTCTGGTATTTTGAATGTTTTACCATTATCTGTCTTTTGCTTTATATATATATATAGATATAGGCCCAACTATATATCTAATTAAAAATTAGTGGAATTTCTTTAGCCTTACTACATATTTGGTTTAAAAAGTAAATATGTTTTGTTCACAGTATTTCTTTCTCATTAAAAACGTATTTTATTTTTGTAATGGGATAGGCCTGTGAAACCTTTCCCCAATGAAGGCGAGAATAGGAAATTCCCGAATTGAATATTATGAGTATGAAGGCGAGAATAGGGAAAAATGCTTAACGAGAATGGGGATGGGAATGACATATTCACCACCAATTCGCCCCATTACCATCCTTATCCCTCTCCGAACATAGACCAAAGGATTACACCTCCTGACCCTTTTCCTTTTGTTTCTCTTGCTTTCTTTCTTTGATTTTCTCGGGAAAGTTTAAAGTGGCACTACGAGGTGCTTGGACAGTTGGGCTCAGAGGGTTAAAAATAGAAAATAAGAAAAGTTGATGTCTAATAAATTTTGTTTATTTTTTCCAAAAACTCAAATATGTAAATAGTAAGCATTGGCGGAACTACGTCATGGGCTACAGTGGGTTGTAGCCCAGTAAGGTTTTTTATTATAATTGAAAAATTTATACATGGGGCCCTCAGTTTGGTCCATTTTTACATGTTTCTTGTGGATACGGTCCATCCCATCAACACGCCACTTTTGCTTTCTTTTTATTTTTTTTATTTTGTTCCAATGTCTCGTGCAGTCCAGTTTCCTATTTATTTTGTTTCAATGTCTTGTGCGGTTTCTTTTAGTCATAGCGTTTCATGACCCGAAAAAAACAAAGCCATTAACAAGGCTTCACCATCAACTGAGCCACTTCATCACAAATCTCCATTAGTTGAACTCAATGAGTTTGATGTTGCTTCTTTGGAACGAGACCTTGGGAAACATATTCAAATATATGAATACCCTATTAATCAATGTGATGAGGTTCAACATGCTTATATCAAAGTTGGACCTTACCAACCAAAACTTTTAGAATATCTGAGGTCTCGGTTTAGATCGCAATATCGTTGATTTCAATATTTTTGGTTCTCCTAATTTCCATGGTTGGACTATTCCCCTTCAGAAGCTAAGTCTATTGTTTTCTATGCTTTATTTTTGGTAATGGTCATCTTGCACTAACTACTGAGGAGTTCAACAATTGGAAAAGAGTTAATGATGGAAAGAATTGTATATTTTTTACTCACGTCGGCGATCCATCTTCATCGCATAATACTTGTGAAAGATTTATAGAGAATTTGATGAACTCATCTCAACATGTCGACAAAGTTATTAATAGACAATCAAAGGAAGAGATTTTGAAGAATCGGTTACCACTCAAGAGACAACGATAGAGTGTGTTCGTTGGCTTACATATCAGGCATGTGCTTTTAAGGGTCATGATGAATCTTTGGATTCTAAAAATCGTGGAAATTTTATTGAAATAATAAAGCATACAACAAGTTTAATGATGAGGTGGCTGGGAGCTACTCGGTTGGGTTCTCATTATGATTTCGTTTGTGATTTGATAGATATGTATGATGCAGTTTGTACGGTTCATGAGAATATAAAGAAAGATGGATCCACAAGATCCTTACGTGGGGAGGCTATTGGTGCATAGAATGTGATTACGCAATTCGAATTTGTATTCATCTTGCATCTATTGCAAGAAATTATGGGACTCACATGTATCCTTTGTCGAGAATTACAACATAAGTCTCAAGACATCGTGAATGTTGTGAACCTAGTTGGTACAAAAAAAGGTATCCTTCAAAATTTAAGATTAACTGGTTGGGAAACTTTTATTAAGAAAGTAAATTTATTTTGCAAGAAACATAACATTGATATGCCTAATATGAATGCTCAATATAAAGTGGGAACTGGTCGTTCTTGTCACAAAAGGACAATATTACAGTTGAGAATCATTACCACGTTAACATATTCAATGATGCAATAGATTTTCAACTAGGAGAGTTGAACAGTAGGTTTACTGAAGGGTGAATGAAACTTCTTATTCTTAGTCCAGCTTTGGACCCTAGTGATTCTTTTAAATCATTTAACATTGAAAAAATGTGCAACCTTGTTGAGAGATTTTATCCTAAAGATTTCACTCCAAAAGAGTTACATATTTTCATATGCGAGCTGAAAGTTTACGAGGCAGATGTACCTCATCATTCTGTACTTCCAAAAGTGTCTACTATCTCTGAATTATGGCAAGAATTAGTTGAAATGAAAAGGTCACAAAGATATCATTTGATTGATAGGTTGATCCGTCTTGTGCTAACTCTCCCTGTTTCCACGAAAACTACTAAACAAGCTTTTTCAACTATGAAACTTGTTAAAACAACTCTTCACAACAAGATGAAGAATGAGTTTTTAGCATATTCTATGATTGTCTACATTGAAAAAGAACTTGCTTACAGTATCGATTTAGATGCAATAACAAAAGATTTCAATTCTCTCAAGGATCGCAAGACACAACTTCAATAGATACACTTTTAATATTCATTTTGATCATATCAATTTTTTGTTGTTGCATTTAATATGTATTTGCTTTATGCTAAAGCTTAGTGAAAATTAGTCATAGCTATGAATTAGCGTGGTTTATATAATTTAATATGTACTTTTATTTTAGCTAGCACTATGTTTCTCTATCTCCGTCTCGAGCAAGCTAACAACTCTCTCTCCCATCAAATCAGCAGAAAAAGCAGTCAAGCACCCATCAAATCCTTCCCAGTCTCAGTATCCTTGGCGCCCATTCTCCTCTCTTCAGCATTAGATGTAGAAGGTGTATATTTGTTATCATTACCCTTGTAGTACATATGTACATTATATCTAAATAATGTACATGAGTATAGGAATAATCCCTAAGAAACTCTTGGTACGCTAAGTAAGCAACTATAGAATGGAATGATTCTTGGTGCAAGAGAGAGGGAGAGATGGAGAGAGAGAGGAAACACATAGATGAAGGAAAAGGGGGTGGGGCGGTAGCAAGGGAAAAAAATTTACTTGTAACGATGATTGCACTGTTTTGTTATCATTGGCCAATAACATCATGATATATGAAAAAGTTATCTAATATGTTATTGTGTTATTGGTCGGGGATAGCAAAAAGTATTCTCTATTGCATGAGAGTTTTTCTCGGCAGTATGGGGCAAGGCACTGTCGACATTGGCTGCAATCTTCTTCTTTCTGTTTTTTAGTTTTCTTTTTCTTTTTCCTAAGGGTAAAATTGGAACCTAATGTCCAGTTGGAAAAACAGTTTTTTGGACCTTGTAGTTTCGCGATTTGTGTGTTGTTGCAAATTGCAATTCATGGACGATACTTAATTTCGTCAAATTTCGTTGACAAACCTAAACCATTGCTTTCGAATTGCAACGATTGATATGTAATTTGCGGAAGTTAAAAACTACAAGTAGAATAGGAACTTTGGACATTTAGGACATGTAAATAGATATAAACTTTTGAGATGCCCTTTTATTTTTGGTACAATATACTGGGAAAAGGGAGTTTACACAAATATTCATTGGGAACTTGGGGGTTTCGAGTCTCGGCCAACATGAGTGGAGGTAGAAGGCACGTTTTGAGATGCTCTTAGGAAAGAAATAACCTACTCCGTACCCAAATCGCACTTTGGATCTTTCCTGCTCTTGAGTCTCATTGTATGACTAACAAACGTGAGGAAAAAAGAAAAGAAACGAGAGGTCATATGATTGGGCATGCCGTTGTCGATCAAATTGATGGAACTTAGAACTATGAATAACAGACCGCAAGCAAATGCAGAATAAAGAATGGACCAATCGTAATTTAACCCATAAAAACATCAGTCAACATTCTATTGCACTCAATAGGGTAGGACCCACAACATGGCAGATTAAGATTGGCAAAACAAAAAGGTGCGACAAAATTGATCACTCTGAAAATTGGCTACTAGAGTAGACAGCGAACTAAAATAAAAGATAAAAAAATCTAGAAGTGCATCCCTTTGCTACAATTGTCATAGACCATAGACAATAGTTCTATCTTGACCACTGCCCTTGTTTGTTTGAGCCGTATTCGAATTCAATTGCCATGCAGAAACGTAAACATCAACCTATGCCCAGAAAATTGCCAGAATACTACTTGGATAAACCATTAATCTCAACAAAAAAATTCTCAGCACCTTGATGCGTGTCATTCTGGCACAAAAGTTATAAGCATTTTCCTATAACCAACAACTGAACGATCCTCATGACATGAACTAACGTGTCAATTCATCAATTTTAATCTAAGCCACGGAGAATCTTCTGTACCAAAGAAAAAGGTAATTTTCTGGCATAATACTATCTTCAGTAATCAGGCTGTTTTCACCTTACGTTGTGGAGGTCTTCGAAATAAACTGATCAGATCATCAAGACCCTGCCGAAGAGCAGCACAGAAATTGAAAAAAATTCAGATTTCTGCTCGTATTCCATTAAAAAACTACTACATATAATATGAGAGAATGGCAAAAAAGAACTTCGATGCTTTGATATTGTAAGGATTAGGAACAATACCCTAGTTGTGATGACAAGGAAACTGAAAAGTACTATCAAATACGATCCCAACACCAGAAGCAAAAGCAAGTCGAATGTCACACTAGCAACCTGAAATAACATGGGTGAACTGATTAGTTGAATGTCCCATTTCTACCTGCATATTGTTTCTATGGCAGTCCAAACATAAAAATAAATAAAACTTTGAAAAGACTTATTTAAGCTTAAGCATAGATAGACTGCCTTGAAAGTATATTAAACCAAGAAACTTGTAATTACTAATGGGCATTGATATAGGGGCAGGAGATGGAATTGTCATACTATAAAACTAGCAAGTATAAGAAATCAACATAAACTAGCACAAAATTAGAACATTTTCTTTTTTCCAGTACACATTTAGTACCTGATATATATTAAGGCTAGCTCTAGTTGAATCATAGAAAGTAAACATCCCATCAAGCACCTCATGCTGCACATTCACCTCATCGGTATGATCTTCCAATTCCTGTCAATAATATAAAATCTGACAGGTCACAAACATATACCAATGAAACGAGGAAAAACCAGATTTATTCTTTAACAGGCAGGTTGGTTTAAATTTTCCTATTTGACCATAAGGTCCCTCCCTTCCCCCGGTCTTTTATTTGTTTCTCTTTCCTCATTTATCCCATGGTCTACAACAGTATATCCAACCCCACCTACAATGGTAGCCAGCACACCAGTTGCTATCCTTCCCCAGTTTCTATCCTGTGCTCTATTTATGACAAGTTTTCCATGCTTGCATCATATTCCCCATATGAAGTCTAAATTTAGGTAACTTGTTTGTTCATAGCCTACATTTAGGTAAATTTGAATTCAGAAAGTAATTTAATTTAAGAAAACACAAAAATTTGTACAAAATATATTGCATAATCCCATAGTTACATATTGAGCGCAAAAATGCAACTTATTAGACCAACAAAGTATCATCGACAAACTTCTGAAGGTTGAACTCAAGAGATTGTCAACAATAGAGAAACACTAGATGCTTCCAACATATTCTCAAATTTATAACTTGGTTCTTTTTCATACAGTAAGAAAACTAGAGAACATATATGGACATATTTAATAAATATTAAACAACTATCAGCACAATATTGAGTGAAAACAATTGCATATTTGAGCTATAACCATGAAATGTATGGAAAATATGAAGATAGTAAAACCTTCTTCAATGCCAAGATACATGGGTCATTCTTTGATAAAAACGGCGCCACACGGGGTGTTTGTGACAAGAGATCCAACCATGACTTTATGTAAGAAGGATTGACTGCTAGACTACTGTTGTCTGCAAAGATTTGGACGTTCTTTCCTTCGTGACCATAGATATGCCTCTGAGTACAATTGAGGTTAAACATGCAGAAAGATTATAAACAAATAACAAAAAAGTCAGAAATCAATTACTTCCGATCTATTTAGTAAATTTTCCGGTTAACAATATTCACTTCTATGGAACATATTTTAGCAATTCATATTCCAGAATTCACATCGTCTAACACTTGTTGTTCAAGAAACTATTGACATATCAATGTTCATTTGATAATGTGAATTGATAATGGACCTGACCTGAATTAACCGTGTACATGAATTGAAAGACACACAATTAGGTCAAAATCCTTCTAAAAAATATATCCAAGGACACGACAATGACCAAGATTAACTACTTTTACAGTGTACAGTAAAGAACAGGTTTCTTAATCAGATTATGCTAAAGTTTCTAAATAACATGATGTTTATCCTTAAAGCCACAGCACATGCTGTTTATCCAGACGAACCTCATCATGCCTCTCAGACCTACCAGTTTAATTGTCAAATACCCTGAATGTTAACAGAAAATATTCCACATAAACCTCTTATCCTCAGAGGCTTCAGGTATCTCTGAAGCATTTGTAAACATTCTATCTCCTTCAATAGGACCAAAAAAGAGTAGCACACACACTTACAATCAATAGCAAGTAAGAACAGAACTGTATGCTCCTAGAGATCCTGTTAAAACCAAGAAGCGAAAGCAACAAAAAGCCTTACCGCAAGGCTCTCAGCAACTAATTTGACACTTTTAATGATTGCAGCTTCATTCACAAATGGTCTGCACAAAACCAAGATCTCAGCAAAAGACCACTTATAATATATGTACCAGTAATAAGAAGTGGGTCTAAATAAATATAACCTGCCATCAACCAGACTGCCAGTACTTTCTAACAGTTCAGGAGCAACAGAGAGTTCAGAAAGAGTGGCAGCAGTAACTCTCAGCCGTGAAAACTGTTCATGCTCCCAAGCTACCTAGAACACGTAAAATGGTTTATCACCTGGTATAAACAGTAGGGTACAGTGCAACAAAAACACATCATGTTTCTAGCAGTGGACTAGTACTTTGAAGAAAGATGCACCCAGATTGATTTACAAGCTCATGGAAACACAAAATAAGTAGTGTCCATTTTGGTTGCAGCAGCAAGAATATATAATTTTAAGAAATCAATAACTTCTCTGCATAAGGTATGACCACAACATAGACCGAACCAGCAAAGTATGGTAGAGGAATTGATTTTGTGGATGACAGTAAAGATGAACACAGATTAAAACTTGCAATGAACCCCAAGCATAACCTAGTGATAAGTTTGATTATCCTGGAGCTGATTTTAGATTAAGAGGTATGCAGTTATTTTCTCAAGTTGTAAATGTTTACCATGATATTTCATTACAAGAAGTTATTACGCCCTATAAATTTCCCTGTCAAGGCCAGTAGTTGAAATGATTAGGGGTATCCTAGTTTTCCTGGTCGAAGAATTTCAGAGATAACCTGGGAAAATCAATGCAAACTACTTGCTGAGTTATAATAAATAATAGCTATATTGTTGCATCGAATGTGCAAGATAACCAAGCATCTTTCCTAATTTGAGGCATTAAGCATTATACTTAAACATAGAAATTTTTCTCATAACCATTAAATTGTGAAGACATGACATAACAAAATAGTCTTGTTTGTTCACCACAAGATGGCATTTCAAGTATATCAACTTACTCGGGGATTTGAAATATTTATCTTCTTGTGCTTCAGACCAACTTTAACGCCCAATTCTTCTGCTACATTAGAGAAACCCTACAAGAAATCCCATCACTTAAACAATGTAGTGCAGCAGCAGAACTCAAGGTAATTTAACTGTACATCTGTAGTATGTTTTGTAAAATCTTATTTGCTTACTTCAAAAATTTGCTTAATGTAGGCATTCTCTGGAGGCTTAGACACATGAATCCACAAGTCATTATCCCATGATCCAATACTATTCAAGCAAATAGCATAGTCAATACTCTCGCGCTGGCGTTGATCAAAGCTCCGAAGCCACTGTAAAATGCAAATAACTAAGGTAAGCAGACAAAAAAGATAAACAGAGGGGCACTTTATTTAAGAAAAGGGAATAAAAGACTTGATGAAAGAAAATGAAAGTTGAAATAAATCGGGAGGAGATGAGCACCTTATGAGTTCCATTGTAATTATAAGGGCCTCCTGATGTTAACCCGAAAAGTAAATTGTACCTTCCTCTTGTCTTAGGATTGGAGTAAAGAACAGAAAATAACCTAGCAATTTCAAGAAGTGCCACAACACCACTTCCATTGCTATCACTTCCAACTGATAAAGCCTACAAAATAAAAGAAATTTTAAACCTTTATAAAGTTATAAGTAGCTGAAATAATTCATGATATGCTGTAAAGTTACATACAGGAGCTGCCCCAAAAGTGTCATATGATGCTACTATAGCAATAGTTGGAAGTTGATTTGCATCTCCATCAGTTTTCAATCCTGAAAGCCATCCCTGTACTCATTCAAAAAGAAACATTCAACTTCCAAACTAGGGGAAGCAAACTAAGCACTATCAACTGGATCTTCAGTCATCCAAGAAAGATTCCATTTAAAATTATGCTACTAATGAAGACAGTTGCTAAAACGGACTGCAGAATAAGGTAAAAACTACAGCTGAAATCTGATTGATGCTCAGACATGCAAAGGTATTCAGTACCATTGACATCTGATGTCAAGTCATTACTATCTCCTAGGTATTAATATAAATACAGAACTGAGAAATCAAATAGGCTTGGCCGGCCATCTAGTTTTAAGAAGTGGAGGAGTAAATATACAACGAACTCGCTTCACTTTAATGCATTACAATGAATTAAAATGCTAACTAGCTCATATGCGCATGAAAATGGTATTTCTGGTTGCAACATAAGTTATCCACATATAACTAAAAGGATTTGAAACACCTTTTGAGCTTAGCAAGGCTACAACAATTCCAATGCAGGAAAAGGCTGTGACACTCAAATCCTATGAGATATAACTAAAATCAATACATAGAGAACTAATAATTCCTAGGTGATTATCCTTATTATAAGATCATATGCCAAAATTCTTACCAATTTTACATTCTTCAGTCAAAGCAGCTAAACTGTCAGTCAAACTAACAGCAAAGCTTTAGTCTTCTACAGGGGAATGTACCCAATATAACATAAGAGCATCCGAGGGTAAAGTATAATTACTAGTCATATTTTAAGATAAAGCAAGTCATCTGTGGAAATATAACAAACCTAATATGAGACTTCAAGGGTACAGCAGAATTGATAATCACATTTTTAAACTGTGCCCTCAAAGTCATAGTTTCAGATATACTTCCAATATCAAATTAACTGTTTTAAACTTTGGATGGGCATAAATATGTGCTGAAATATCTGAGACATATGATATCTGATATGGATAGACTCTTTATAGATGTGTTAATGGAAGAATAACATTTATTGCCTCCTAAACAATATAACTTAAGAACAGCGAACAAATGTGAAACCAGCATAGCAACAAAATATAACAAACCATACAACACTTCCTTGATACTCTTACATTGTTCAACACATGTATCATCAATTTTAGCATATGAGATTTTTACAAACAGAATAAAAATGTTATATGGGTAGAAAAACACAAAGAAGGATTAATAAGATATGTTCCAACTGTTACAAGGTAAATAAAGGAGCTAACAGATATTTCCATACTCTACTGGTTTAAGAAACTGCTAAGATTGAACTTAGATGAACTGACAGGGATATTAATAAAAATAAAAAGAATGTGAGAAACAAACAAATAAAAAAGTTGAGCTTGAACCTGAATGTTTGTGATGGTGGGTGATGCACGTTTCTTAGGTTCTGGAACTGAAACAACAAGCTTATATCTGCAAAACCAGAAAAGACAGAGAGATTCAGAGTTGTGCAATGACAATTAAACAAAACACCTCCTAAAGCTCATGCCAAATAAGGATGTATAAGTATAATTGAAGTTAAATGGTATTGGCATAACTAAAAGGATAAATAATACACTCATGTCAACAATGAAAATCAGACAGTACCAAAAACAGGATTCTATGCATTTACTTAAAGCGCAATAAAGATCTTTAAAAAGGACAGGAAGAAGAACAATAAATAAGATCACAAAATATAATGAATCGTGATCTAACAAACAAAGAGAATTAGAACAGAAGTTTATTGCTGTATAAGTTGTACTTGCTTCCAGTCGTATTCGATAAGGACTCCTGAATCAGCAACCACAGATATATTTTCAAGTTCCAAAATTTCCAGCCCCTAATAACTTTTTGGTGCAATGCACAATCTTACTTTAATGACCTCGGCCTCCAAAAGATTTCCTCTACACACCTCTTTTCTTTTATTCTATACCTCTCTATCATCTGTATCCTCCAGCTGGTTCCTAGTCCAAACCAGCTAACCTCTCATCTTTTACTCTTTACTCTGTGAAGTTGAATTTTTCTCACTTTCTCCAGCCAGCATACCCTCCAAGAATTCTACAGCCCTTATCCATCCTGCTGGTGTTATACTGTCACTTTTCCTACCTCAATCCCTTCTTTTTTTTCTTTTTCTTTTTTCTTTTTTTAGAAACACAAAATTATTAAGACGATAAAAACTGAGTAAAAAACTGGAGGACATGTAGTCCATCAGGAACAACCAAACCAAATCCAATCTATCCCCACAGAACTAAACTGGGCCAAAAGTAATGGAACCTTAACCCACAAAATCAGACCTATCTGGAAAGATCAAGCTGAAATCCTTAAATGCTTTGATACATCAAAACAACTGAGTCAAAACCCACTAGCAACTAGTAAGCTGCGCCAAGATCCACCAGCAGTAAGTAGCTATGCAGTTTTTTGTATAAATAGTTTTGGCCTCCACTCCTCTACAATCCTGATCAACTTGGAACAGAAATATTTTCCTTGCAAGCTTTACATCCTTATAATGGCATTCTATGTATAATCTATAAGGACCCGAACTCACTCTGGAGGCCACCCCTTAAATTTAACCAGTCTCTCACTAGAACTTACTCTCTGTAGTGACCGTCTTTTTTAGGACAGATATATCATCGAAAAGAAATTCATCAAAATATATAGTATCCATATTATACTATGCAGCTATCTGTCTAGGGATAAGTTCCATGGTTTCAATCAGAAAGCCATTTACTTACCCGCCAGTAGTTGCAGTAGCAGGTTGACCAGTGGCATCATTCCTCTTGACATCAGCCAACACAGCCTCAATATCATCATCTTCAAAAGCAAAATACACAGGATACTGTAACAGAACATACCACCACAAAGATGTCCTTTAGACAACAACAATTTTATGAAACGAATAAAATAATCAAAAAGTATCTAAAACTTAAGAATTACTCCCATTGTAACACTTGGATTCCCCAAACAAACCCCATTTAAGCACTACATCACAGAATTGCAGGAATTAACATATTGTAATTTCATTTATGGATGAGGAATGCAATTCATTACATCTGAGACTAGAACTTATACATATTAGATGAGTGTAGATGCCCTAAAACGGTTCACAGTTCATAACTTCGCAGAAAAAGGCTGGTGAATTTATTTTTAAACATGTGATTGCAAAAGAGCAAATGCAACACAATGAACAGATTAATATAATTGCCTAATACGCATGCACAACAAAGAATAATGCCTTTACTCTACTTTCATTGAGGGGTAATTTACTTCAAAGTTAAGATGCAAGACATTACAATCAATGAAGAGAAAAAAATAGTGGGCTTGGTTCCTCTGAAAAATATTATTTTGTTGGATTTCAAAAAGTACAAAACCTTATTAGTTAAAGCCAAACAGTTAACAAGGTTCGGGTAACTAACAAATAGCAGCAAGTAGCTGCTGCTACCAAATTCCTGTTGAGCTGATATGCTATAATGATCAAATAAAGCGCCTCAATCATATGGTATGCATCATTCACTAAAGGAAAAAATTAGGAAAAAAATTAATCATACATCTTAAACCCAGGAAAGCAACTGGAAGACTGAGAAACGAAAACATGTAGTCAATTTGATAAATTATATATAGAATGTTTTGAGGAAAACAATAGAAGCTAGCTTAAAAGCAATACAACGGCATATGCAAAAGCACATGCGCATCATAAACCATAACTAGAGAGGTGCAAGAAACAAACAGCAGAAAGACAACTGCCTCCAATTACAAAGAATAAGAAAACTTATGGCTGTTTGACTTACAGGTATCTTGGAATGTATAAGTAATTTTTCAAGTTCGGCCAGATCATTCTTCAATAGCTCCACTCCATCAGTTTGATGATTACTTTTTGCCCTTTCTCTATTTTCTATATTAAATATCTGGGGCAGCAAAAACAGCAAACCTCCCAGAGGCTGGTTTTGAGTAATATATTCTGCAATATGATTAACAATCTCAATAAGCAATCAGCAATCTGAAAAGGAAAGTTGGTTGACCAACTTAGCTAAGGCACTTATAGTTTAAGAATATGGGATCAACATTCTTATTGAGTTACTCAATGATCATAAATTTAAAATTCAAACCGTCATATCTTATTGAGTTACTCAATGATTATAAATTTAAAGTTCAAACCGTGATATCTTATTGAGTTACTCAATGAGCATTATTTTAGTTCAAAATAGTTGCTCAAAGTCACATATTCAAACAGCCCCAGTATTGTAGCAGTTCGAGGTGGCATTTACTGTTTGTCATATGCGGGGCTTGTTACTAATTAGCATTTAGAAAGTAAAAGCATCGAAATTTAAGCACTTCTAAGAAGCATTCACAAACTTAAGTGATTGTACACAAATGGCCTCACCAATCTCACTTCACTCAAAAGACTAAGAATACACACATATTGGAGTGCCCAACTAAAAAAAACATGAGATTTATTCAAAATCGAAGATTACCCACATAAATGCATAAAATATAGAAATACATGAGATGAAAAGAAGCACTACCTTTGACGAAGGAGATGTTGAGTTCGCGTAAGGGGATGATGAGGACAGTGCGGGAGAGATCAGAGCCAGGAGCGAATTGCAAAGAACCAGCATGGTGGTTGAGGTTGGCGAGTCGAGATCCGAAAGGAGCACCGGAGATGTCGTACTGGATCAGCCGATACACGTCGACGACTGTGGCGGCGTCGCATAGTTCAACGCAGGCGACGAGGATGAAGACGAGAGCAATCATCGAGTACATCGACTCCAGCACTTGGCGCTCTCCGCCAGGCTTCGCTTGGGCCATGGCCGTTATCTGATTGCGATCT